GGGCGGGGCAAGGGGCGGGGCCAGGAGAGATCGCGTATAAAAGCGCGGGGGGCACGTGTCGCTCTTCGCGGGTCGGGGGTCCCGGGTCCGGTTCCGATCCCGGTTTCGGGCCCCGTCCCGCTGCTTCCTGCCGACTTTATTGAAAGAGAAACCGCCGGCAAACACCCCCCCCTCCCCGCCGTTCCCCACCCCGGCCCCTCAGAACCCCCGCAGCAGCTTCTCGTAGTGGGGGTCCAGGTTCCTGACCAGGAACATCGACAGCATCAGGAGGGCGAGCTGGGAGCAGAGAGCTGAGTCAGCAGCCTGACCTGCCCGGACCCCTGAGACCCCCTCCCGACCACCCTGAACACCCCCTCCCAGCCCCCTGACCCTCCCACGGCCACCCTGAAAATCCCCTGAACCCCCTCGGACCCCTGAGTGACCCCCAGTCCACCCATCCCATGGCCCTGCAGTCCCCAGGCTACCCCCCAGGTCAGCCCTACAGCCCCACGACCACCCCCGGCCCCACCCGGGCTGTCCCCTCAGCTCAGCCCCCCTGCCCCGGGGCAGCCCCCCTACCTCCCCCAGGCCGATGCCCACGCAGACCCCCACGATGGTGATCAGGTTTGCGGCCAGCCAGTCCCGGACGCCCGCGGCACAGCCCTGTGGGAGGGGGGTGACAATCGGGGGTCACCTGGAGCCCCCCCCAGAGCTCCAGGACCCTGTGACCCCCCCCGTGCCTCACCTTGGGGAAGATGTCACTGGGGGCAGCTACGGGGCAGCGGCCGTGGGGCAGCACCCCCGGGGTCCCGTGGGTGCTGTTGGGGGCCTTGAGGCAGGAGCAGGCGACGGTCTCGGCCCCGTCCGTGTCCCCGGAGGGTCCCTCGTGGTGGTCCCAGTCCTGGCGCCTGTTCCAGCCGCAGCAGCCGAGCTGGGGGGAGGCAGGGGGTCAGTGGGGTGGCCGTGGGGTGGCTGTGGGGATGGGGGGGGCTCTGTGGGGGTCTCACCTGCTGCTGGACAGCATCCCAGCTCTCGTGGGGGTCCCCAGGCGGTCCCTGAGCTGGGTACTCCTGGATCAGCTGCTGTGCGTAGGTGGCCACCTTGGTGGCCAGCTGGGGGGGGTGGGGGGTGAGCACAGTGTCCCACGGCACTGCCCTGCCCCCGGGACCCCCCCCCACTCCAGGGTCCCCCCCCAGCCCCGGGG